TACAATGGCAGACCCTGCGCTCTGACCCCAAGCTTCTCCCTGTCTGTGTGTCTGTGTCTCCATGAAGAAAAGCTGGGGTATGCGAAAAGAGGGATTCCTAATGCAAGAAATTGTATAGGGCTAATAAAGAAACATTAGAATGACATTTATATGTAAAGTCCACAGCGTCTGAATTGCTTCATTATTTTAAAAATGAGAGGCTTTCGGTTTTTCAACAGGGTTAACTTGTATGGGTAACCGCGCGGGTGTTTGCATCCACTGGTTTCTAACTTGGCCCCCACGTAAAAGCGATCACCTTGTCGATATTGCAATGACTGGGCGTGTGGGGTCGAACTTTGTTCTTGGGACACGTACAGTGTGACCTAACCTGATGTGCCCTAGGTTCCGCTGCCGGCGCTGTGTGAACGGGCGGCAGGTCCGCGCCCCCCCCGACGACGCCGACTGCACCAGCGACCTGTCCCAGTGGCACCACGGCTCGGACAGGAGGGGCTTGAGGGACCCGGTGCTGCAGGCGTCCTGGGACGCGGGCGTCTCCTTCGTCTTCCACCAGCGGTCCCACGAGGACCAGAGAGGGCTGCTGTGACAGGCTGGCTCGGCCTTCAGCGGGACGAACCGGAGCAGAGCTCGTCTTCCATCTGCCGGCAGGTGCTGCTCTCTCCGACAGTCCTCTCCCCGGGAAGGACCACTCACGCTTTGGACTTGGATCCGCGTTATCCTTACACTTTGAAAGCAGAACGGGAAGATGGGAACTCCGACACCTTTATTTTTAATTTAAAGACAGAGTCAATCTCATTCGGACTTAAAACGTTTCTTTTTTGAGGGCAAAAAGGAAATGCCCCTACCCCCATCCCCCCCTTTTTTTTTTTAAAGCTTCAACTCTGTGGTGTAAATAGTTTGTGTCCCGCAATGGCACCGTAATAAAAATCAGAACTGTAAGCGCCGCGGTGTTGTGCGTATAATGAGATTCGAAAGGGAAGAGTCTTCCAAACGGTCAACTGAAGAGCACGTCTGACATTTCTGTTGGGGTTGTTAGGTTCAGAAGCGAGCACTTCCCAAGATCTCAAATGGTAATGTGAATTAGTGGGTATAAAAACGCCCGCCCAGCTTGCTCTGGTCACATGACACTGATGTGGTCTGCGAAGGTGGTCCTGGAGTTCCAGCAGTCTTTGGTCACGTGGCACAGTGCCTGCAGCTGCCGCATAGCACGCTCGGTTTTCTGGGGGTCTCTGTCCAGGGGGTTCTCTCGCACATCAAGCTTCAGATGAGGCGAGGGGGGGTGTCTTCCCAGCAACCTCCCAAACTCCAGCAGCCCGTCGGGCAGGATGTAGTTAGAGCTGTGCAAATAAAACAGGAATTCACACGGCATCTTGACATTCGCCAGCACTGTCAAAGTTAGAGCACCTGTTGCAGTGCTCTGCAATAATCCTGTTTTGCAAGTTTGTTTTAAATATACAGTACATAAATTACTGATTTCAGTTTTGGTGTGTTTATACCGTACAAGTATGGAAATTCAGTTCTTTAAAGGTAAAATGGGATTAGTGATAAGTATCAACCCTGTACCATTTTCTGAGTTTCAGAACTGCCCTTTTTCAGGTGTGTTGCCTGAAATGTAACCAAACGGAATCTCTGCAGTAGGAAAAAATGCTCATTGTGGCTGTGTCATTCCTACTATGGGTGTCACATGCATCATCACTCCCACCTGTGTCTGTTTTTCGTCAATTGATCAATTGGGGCCGTGTACATTTCTGTGTGCTGGTGTAAGGTATTATCGATAGTCAGTACTGACCGAAGAAGCAAACTAAATTAAAAACTGAAAAAAGCCAGCAGATCAATTAAAATCATCGACAGCACTGCAGATTTAGAGCTCAGCTGGAATGAAAACCAGCAGACACACAGTTCCTCCAGGACCAGGGCTGGAATAATATAATTACCTGACGTTTAAGTGCTGAATTCTGCCCGGAGAATTTTCAGAAAACAGGTCAGCAAAGGCTATCAGGCCCTGATTACCTGTTTGAAAAACAAAAATCAAACAGAAAAGGATTAAAATGTGCAACAGGAGAACCTCAGTCTGGAAGGGAAAAGAACCTGAGAACAGTCACAAACGAAAGGAGGCTGTCGAGCCATTTAGCTTATGTGGTAGTTATTGATCCAGGGATCTCATCCGAAAGTTTCCTTGAAAGAAGACAGGGTATCAGCTTCAGCGAAATGGAAAAACTATTCCAAAGCTCACCCAGGCGGTTTTTTGACACAGAAATTGATCTGAGGGATGTCTGTGCCTTTACTGTGTCGACAAAGCGGCCCAGGAACTCCTCTTTGTTCCTTTCAAACAGACGGCAGTCCGTGAAGCGTACCTCTAAAATGGAAAAAAATGAATCACTGACGGCTGACGTCAGAAATTGCGATTGTTTTTTTCTGCTATGGCCCATCAATGCCTCAGTTTCCTCAAAGACCTCAGCTGTAATTACTAAAGAAACATCATGTCGGGATATTTTTTAAGTGGTAAATGTATTCAGCAAGACTTTGAACAAAAAAAAAACATAAATGACTGTTTATGAACATGAGCACCAATGTCAGCATGAAAGAAGTCCATCGGGGGAAAAAAAAGGGCAAAATTAAAAATGTGGGTAACGAAACCTTCAGCGTGCGTCAATATTGTTGACTGTATCGTTAAATAAAGTGCTTGTGGGAAATTGTTGAGGGGAGAGCTACGGCAAATAACATTTTGACACTGTCCGTACACAGAGGTGGTGAGCTCAAATCCACAGTCGTACAGGAAGTTTTCTTCACTTGTCGCCGACCGAGGGAACGTTACCTTGCAGAGCAGACCTGTTCAGGAGGTGAAGCACTTCATCCTGACAGCCCGAGAGGCAGAGTTCCTCCAGGGACAGGGTCAGCAGGTGGGGGTTCGACCCTACCACACACAAACAGGACAGTTTTCCGTTCAGTCTCCTATCTGCGTTATATAGGCAGCTGCAGGGTTGGGATACTCAATCGAACAACAAGGGACGGTGACATGCCAACACTGAAGGGGTTGAAGTTGTGAATACTCCAGGTCCTGGAACTGCACGAGTAATTTAACCCCAGAACCTCTTTCCCCCTGCAGGGCGGTGTCTAATGGCCATGTTTCATTCAGAGCAGCAGGGCGACAGAGGACCAGAGGCTGTTGGTACCTGGCAGAGCTAGCAGCAGTGCGCTGAGCTGGGGGGTCTTGCAGCGGAGCCCTTTCAGGTGGAGGCTGGTCAGGCTCTGCGCCCCCTGGAGCACGGTCACGAAGCCCTGAAGGTGCACAGGCTCGACTGGGAACTCCACCTGCAGAGTCTTTAGAGAGCTCTCTGGGGAACAAAGGCCATAATCCAGTGTCGGTTTCGTGGTTTGAGTGAATTTGCCCTCGGTTTAAATAGTCTTCAAAATATTCAGCAGGCCCCGTACAGTAAACATACGTGGCTCGTGTGTTTGCCTCTCAATTTAAAATTATTTTTTTTAAGTATGCTAGTTATTTTCTATCCCAACTACGAATTTTCAACCAGAAACATTAGGCTTGTTGGAGAACACCAGCTCATTTTGATTATTACATTTTGTCTGTCTGGTTTCTGTTGACTAGCGAAGGGCACGCAGTTCCTAACTTTGAAACATTACGACATGCTGGACAGGGCGTACTTCATGTGATGCAGCACAGTGCTGTCGCTCCGAATGGCCTTGAGAAAGACATACACTACCTATGGGTGCAGGCTGGTGAGAGGAGCTGCTGTTCCCCTCTGCTCCATAGAAACCAAGCGTAAGAGCCTCCAACCCAGGACAGGCAGAAAGCAGGCGGGCCAGCAGGGCTGCCACAGACATTCTGCAGCAAACGCTGGTGATGGACAGCACTGAGAGGGAGCAGGCTGGGTTCTGGTACAGCAGGCGCAAGGCTTCCACCATCTCCAAGAGGCTGGGCTCCTCTATGGACCCTGCAGGCAGCACAAAACGGGTAAGAAACTGCAACATGGGGATGCAGGCTGAGAGAGCCGAAAGATCCTAAAATCCATTCTTTTCTTTTTTTCCCCGCTTATAACCAAAAATATGGCGAGAGCTTGTTCCCCCCCACAAACGTTAGCATCTGTACGTGACAGAGCCCTCTTCAATACATACAGAAGGCCAACGGTCTAGCAAAACTGGGACAGCCTTGCTCAGGGGAGACGGACATGTCGGTCCTTGGCTCTGACGCTGGAGCTGCCCTACTCACATTCACACGTCACCTTTAGGGAGCAAAGACAGAACCAGGAAGAGAGAAGGGGCGAGAGAACTCGGGAGATGACTTCATCGCATACGTCAAGCACCAGAGCAGTGATTCTTCTGACAGGGCAACCTCCCTTCCCTGAGACAAGGGAGGGAAAAGAGGAGAGAGTGCAACCAGGATCCAGGATTTCAGAGTCCACGCACTGGCGGAGTGGTAAATGAGGGGTTCCATCGAATCTACTGCATCCGCCGGGCTCAGCGCCACCCCTGGGCTCCGAGATGTCAAGCCGAGGTAATTTCAAGGCTTTTGCACACAAGTCATCTACCAGTCTCCTTTTCCTGGCTGCACTCTTGTGCTCCTGGTTGCAGCCCTGTGCCTCCTGTGACAGGCCTGTTCCAGCACCGGATGTGTTTGGTCCAAAATCGGAACGCCTCTCATCTTCCAGATCCTGAGTGCGAGATGAAAACGACTGACTGCCCTCCTGTTTCTTGATATCTTGGTGACCAGCGCTCATCCGAAGGATCCAAGTCCAAAGACTGGGGCTGGAGATGCTGCATTTACTCATGACCAGAGTCTGGACCGAGCCGTGGTGGAGGAGGCGATGGATGATGAAGAGCACCGGGCTGAAGTCGTTGTGGAAGAGAGAAAGTCTGATTTCCCGGAGCTTCAGCTGCATGACGGTGGCCTCCAGGGTCTTCAGGACAGGCCGGAACTCCTCCGAGCTCAGCCGGGACGTCTGCGCCAGGGACCTGGAGAGGATGAGGACCCTGACGTACTTGGCCGCCAGCGAGAGGAGGGAGAAACGGGGGTCTCGCAGACGAGGGTGTTCTTCTTCACTGAAGTGACCGAAAGTGACCATGTGGAAGAGACGCTCCAGGAATTTCTGTCGCCAGTCCTTAATTGGCTGAAAAAATTAAATTAACTGATTAATATATAGAGACTGTATTAGAGGGGGTGGATTTACATGGGGCTGCGTGTATTGTACAGACTGCTGTACATGACCTGCATGCAGAAACCGCTGCTTCACAGATGTCTCTCTAAATGAGAAGGATGTGCAGCTGTACTACCTGTTTATAAGTCACTTTAAAGCTTGTTTGCTTCAAATTAGTCAGATATGGAAGTACAGAGTGTCTCTATCCAAATTTTAAGCACTCCTACAACAAAAACACACTGAAAATGTGTCTTCATTTTTGAAAAGTGCATAATTCGCTGCTCCCTATGTATAATTTTGTATCTATCTTTTTACAAAGTCTAAATTCACTTAAAATAATTGATTCCAAGTGGGTCTGACCTTGTTTCCAGGAGGCCTGATTTTGACCACTTCCATCCAAAGTCCAAACCACACAGAAGCAGTGGACAGGCCTAAAAAGAAAGGCAGCTTTTAACATTTCGTTGAGATGCCTCGCGACACCTGCTCTGATTAGACTGCTCTGCGATAATCCTTTATTTATCCAGTCTGGTCTGTCGAGAACAAAATCTCATTTACAGTCGTAAACCTGGCTGAGCTCACACCACAGCTGCACCGAAAACAGTGAAAGAAAAGGAAAATTGAATAAAAAGAAATAAAATACATGCAAAACGGCTGCCCATGGGCTGTCAATATTCTCGTTCCCATGCATCAGGACAGGACAGAGTTAGCAAGTGTGGGTGTAAGGCAGTGAATTGCTGACAAACTTGCAACACACATACAGTAGCTACAGAAGTGTTTAGCACGGTCCTCTTAGAATGAATGCATTGCAATTGCTCTGGGTAAGGTGGTGTGTGCTGGCATGTTTTTCCTCAGCCTTGACTCCTATGATAAAGCACAGCTGCACTCCACGGCGTGGCCCAGCCCGCAGAGCAGCCCCGTCTGTACGTGCCTTTGCGAACAGCTACGTCCTCGATCCTCTCCAGGTAGAATATGTTCAAATGCGGCAACAGCTCTTCAATAAGAGAAGACGGTATGTCTGTGGGGAAGGCACAGGGGCGATCAGTAGGAAACAGAAAACAACCAAGCGCATCAATTATAAGTGGACGAATACACCAAGTCCTACCCTTTTACCCTTTTTGTTATTTACTTCTCTGTAGATGTGTAATAACTTGAACGAACGCCGCTTCCCACAGTGAAGTTTACGACAGGAAGGTAACGGCGAGGATCCGCAACTCTGAGCACATTTCGATCACTTGCATTACGTCATGGCGTCAGCGAGACCGTTTCTCAAGTTGCAGGTAGTTCTCACACTTTTCTATCGAGGAAACCTCGCGTGAAAACAAGTTGAAGGACCGCCTCGACGTTTTCAGAATCAGCAATAAACGGTCACCCATAGATTTAAGTCCTTGTGTCTCAATCACCAGTACTTTAAAGAAAATAAAAGTGATCGATTTTTTCCGCTTTTCTGTTTGATACAGTTTCTTACCCCAGACTTGCTTTTCCAGTACGCGCATGTTTTTGCTGACAGCTTTGATACATATTTTCAAAAGAGGCGCGGCTACATCTGCTTCATGCTTGTTCTCCATTAGTGCACGGCACGTTTATAATAATATATACATACTGTATGTCTGACCTCAGCTAGAAAACTCACATATACTCTGTTCCCCTCTAACCAGCACTACAGTACAGTACATCACTCTCTTCCCAAGTCAACACTGTTTGCACACACTGACTCCAGCAAACACGTGTTCCTCTTCCGCCTACGTCACATGACTCCTCCCCCCGCTTATCTGAAATAAAAGGGGGTGTTTGGGTTTGTAAACGATGTTATTATTCTCAAATTACCATGCCATTGCGTGCGACACTTTCGTGGCAGTGTAAATCTGGTTCAGAATTATTCAGTTCATCATACCTTAAAGTAAAGGTGTATTTAACGTATAGTGAATTTATTTTTATTCTGTTTTGAAACTATAGATAACTATAAATGGGGTATAGATAAGATATGAGCACTTTATTGGCCACGATATACACTGATACAAGATCAGAGAGAGCTGAATGCAAATAAGGTTTTACTTTAAGGTAAGTAATTAACTTTATGGAATAAATTGCTCATCTTAATGTTTATATGTGTGTGATGACGGTAACTGTTTTATCAGTACTTGCGAATTACAGAGTTCAGACCAACACGTTTTGCATATTTTATTATTTAAGAAATATCACTTCTTAAATAAAACAACTCTTTTTAAGATGATCTTGTTGTGGATGTGATGTTGTATAATCAGGCAGTCCGTGTTGTGTTTGAACAGTAGGGAATACCTGAAAACATGCCCGGATTTGTGAAAACACGCATTCGAACCTTTAAAAGTAATCGACTTTTTATGAAAGGAAACTTTTTCCAAAGGCCACGTGTTGGCTTTTTTTTTACATATTGGCAAAATAAGTGTGCAGTAGTTTCCTTATAATTATTACAGAGCAGTACTGAGGTGAAACACCGTGAAATTCTGGAATTCTAAATTGATACCATTTTCATGCCCGATGAGCAAGGAAAGGAAGACGGCGGAAATACGTCAGAATGCCGGTTGTGCAAAAGCCCTATTGGCAATATCGCAGCTTCCGGTAGTGTTGTTCGTAGTTTCCGGCGTGTGACCTGAAGGTCCTCCAGACGCACTCGGGTTGTGGTGGAGAGGGAGCGTGATTTAGACCGGTTTGTCACCCCCCACAGTAATCATGGTTTTGACAGAGGAGAAGATGCTTACGAACGGAGAGCCCGACGAGGTACTCATCTGAGATGCGGTTCAATGAAAATAGTTTAAAATGACCGGAAGAGATGTTCTGTAGGCTGTCCGTGAAATGCGTGCGTCCAGTGTCTTCTCGGGCAAGGCCTGGTTGCGAAACGGCGTTCAAATGCCGAATGAGGGGCTAGTCCTCTCTTCTTTTTTTAATATATTTGTTTTCAGTGCCTCTAGGATGCCCCGCTGTCTCTGGCAGCATCAGAGCGGCGCCGGCTTCCCTGTGTTTGACGTGTTTGATCCCTTGTCAGTGGGAAGGAGAAGAAAGGGCTGTGAATCGGGAGTCAAAACGATCGTTTTCTCGGTAGTCCGAAAGTCTTGCTGTTTGAAAGCTAAAGTTGTACTAAATGCAAAACAAACAAAAAAATCAGTGGGGTGGTCTATTCGTGACCGGTACAGTGTGAACTGTTGCATTCCGGATGGTAATTTTAATGTTGAATTCATGGTACCATTACGTGTTCATAGATCTGATTTTGCACATCTCATCCAACTGCTTGTTATCCGCTTTGAAAGCTCATTCGCTCATATGTTACTGCATGCTTCGAATGACATCTGACTAAAGAACAAAGTATGCTTTTTTTCAGTAATTCCTTGTGCATGTATGCCTTTCATCCCAAATGGTCTTGTTGCACTTGGCCTGAATTGCACCAACACCTCTGACAGCCCATTGCCCCCCATTACTGGGGCCCTGGTGTTTGACATTCCAGTGAAGAGCGCCCCCTGCTGGTCCCCCAGCCTGCTTGCAGAAGCTGGGCTTTCCTTCCCAGTTCTCATCAGGCCCGGCCTTGCTTCAGAACCCTGCTCAGTTCTGGGTTATGTCAGTGTCTCCCAGGAAGCATAATGGGGGAAAAAGAAGGACATTGACTCTCAGCAGCGGAGCACACCAATAAATAAGAAAACTGCAGGGATGTATATTTACTATTGAAACCATGAGCTACTTCTGTGCTCAGTGTTGTAGGAGTCTGCAGAAGGCTACCCAGCAGTGCTGTTTATACTGATACCCGGCTTCTTTTAAAGGAACTGCTGGATGAAATCCTTGGGTCTATGGGCTGCTAGCAGTCTAAATGTGGTCAA